CTTTTTGGAATTTACAGTCTCGGCTTTTAGGGAAGGTTTTTACATTTGTCTGTGGATATCCAGGGCAATGCCATGTTTCTTAAGGAAATAATTTATTTGCTCCTTAGAAATATTTTGTCATCTTTAGACTAGCTGATGTCTCTAATTTGGCTTCTGTTTCATGGTATGCCAACTGTTGATTATCACGTGTCTTTTCCTAGGAGTAGGGTCTAGACTGTGCTAACCCAGAGTAATATCTCCAAGGGCTGAGGATTCTAGAGTGAGTTATTTTTTTTTTTTTTTTTTAGGATAAGACGAAAGAAGATACCAGTGGTCCACAGACCAGCAGGTAAAAAGTGAAGTATCTTTGAAAACAAACATTATAAACAGTTTTTACTTTTTTCTCATATATACACGTTTGTAATGTGTACTAATGGAGTCCTGATGTGACACTGTGGGATAAAACATAGACACAAGGGCAGTTTGAACCACAAGGGTGGTTGGAAATATTATACAGGGTTGGATCCGATTTGCCGTCACCCGTCACTTAGCAACTATGATGTGTACTAATCTTAGATATACAACGTGATGAGTTTTTACATCTGAACATACGTTCCTATAACCTAGAGATCAAGTGAGGGAAAATTTCCAACACACAACAAGATTTCCTCCTGCCCTTTTCCCATTTGATATTTACCCTTGGATCTACAATCAACACTTGTGGAAGCAGCAGTCAATAATAAATCAAGACTCAGTGTATTAGGGCTTGCTGAATAAAACCTCTTTAAAGTGTTCAAGAGCAAAAATACCAGTTTGAGGACTAAAGTGCGTCTGTCCCAAGTCATGATGTTTTCAGTTGCTTCATAGGCATGTGAAAGTTGGATAGTGTATAAAGAAGACAGTAGAAGAGTTGATGCATTTGAGCTATGGTGTTAGAGGAGAATATTGAAAGTACCATGGACTGCCAGAAGAACAAATCTGTGTTGGAGGAAGTATAGCAAGAATACTCCTTAGAAACAAGTATGGTGAGACTTTGTCTCTCATGTTGCTGCTCTTGTTGATGTTAAGTGCTGTTGAGTAAATATGACTCATAGTGTCCCTATATAGGGTTTCCAAGGAGCAGCTCAAGAGTTTGAACCACTGACTTTGCAGTTGAAACTGACCTTATGATCTAGTGCTTATCTTATACCAGGAGTCCTTGCCTCTCATACTTGGGATATATTATCAGAAGGGACCAGTCCCTGAAGAAGGACATCATAGTTGGTAAGGTGGAGGGTGAGCGAAAAAGAGACATCCCCTCCCCCCTTGACGATATGGATTGGCATAGTGGCAACAGAGTAACAACAATTGGGAGGATTGTGCAGACCCTGGCAGTGTTTCATTCTTCTGTGTATAGGGTTGCTATGAGTCAGAAGCGACTTGACAACACCTAACAACAACAACAACATCCCCCCCAGGAATAACCAGAGTTCTGACTGTAACTGCTAGATTTAAGCATTCTTGGACATCATATAATTGAAATAGACTGTGTGAATACTTACTTCATGCAATCAATATAAAGTCTGTCACATTATATATATATGGAGCTCTGGTAGCGTAGTGGTTACGAATCGGGCTGCGAACCTTAAGGTCAGCGGTTCGAAACTACCAGCTGCTCCGCGGGAGAAAGATGAGGCTTTT